AGTGAGCTCAACATGTTCGGTAACGATCCTTAGGGATTTACTTGTAGATGAGAAACCAAAGAAAATGCATGAATGAAGTGCAGAGAGCTATATAGGAATGAAGTGAAACCAAACTTTGAATCTGCATTTGGTTTTGCCCCTAACTTGCATTCTCAAAAGTAACCTTTAAAGGCGTGGGCATGATGGCTGGGGCGGAGCGGTTGCTGCCAACGTCGTTGGTGGAAGGGCTGAATGACTAGTGACAAAACGCCCTCTCTCAGACCTTCCACCAATGGCGTTAGCAGCAGCGCCGGCCCCCAGCCATCGTGTCCCCTGCCTTTGACGTCAGCACAAATGTATATTATCTGTTATCACATTAATGCTGAGTTGTGGGCAAAAGTCGTGCCCCAGGCGGGAGTTGAACCCGCACCTCACGCTTTCCGGAACATATTATCTGTGCTATTGCTGTCTTAGCAGTTTGAATTTTCAAAGGGAATCGGCAAAACCCGAGCTGTGTCAATGCACACAATTATACTAAAATTTACTCATCACATTGAATAAACACTTTGATGACGTCACCTTTCTGAGATCGCTTGAAGGCGTCCAGGGCTTCGTCCAGGGTATAAAGAGCTCTCGTTAGTCCAGATAAGGTCGATTTTCCGAGATGCCACAAGGTCAAGGGAAGTCGGGTAACTGAACAATGCTTTATATTAATAGATCCTTATTCAAACGTATTACTAATAGATACTTATTTGAATGAAAAGGGCTAGGTAGATTTAAATAAAAGAAAACGCGGAACAAAAGAATGGACCAAAGCTTTTGTTGATTAAAAATCAGGGTCAAATGATGGCTCAATTCCTGAGCCTTCACCGGGCGATAAGTCACCAGGTGCTGAGCCCGGCCGGTATCGGCAGTGAACTACGTCCTTGAAGTTAGAGGGTGAGTATACTTACCAATTCACATATCTAAGTACACCTCTGATATCGACCTCTCGAAGTGCAGCATCTACCACAGGAAGTTCTTTTCTTGACTCTCCCAATCCAACCAGCACTACCACACCTCCCGAACGAGTACTCTGAGAAGTTCAGCTCCACAAGAGGAGAAAAGGTGAAAGTACTTAGTCACTTACCAGAATCGCAGACTCTATAGACGGCTGTACTCCGGTGCATTCCAAGGTGACGTCAGGCTCACTTGCCAAGGCTTCGGTAACGGCCTGTCGCACCTGGGCAGGCGATTTCCCTCTGAAATCTATCATAGTTATGGAATATTGCACAATCACTCAGCCGACTTACTCAACACAAATTGCATGTTCAGTTCCTAGTCTCCTGGCCAGATCCAGTCGGTCCTGGTTCAGGTCTGTGATGACGACTTCGGAAGCCCCCATTGTTCTCGCTGTCATCATACAGAGCATGCCGATAGAACCTAACAAAGGCTAAGGTAGATGAAAAGTTTCCAAAACGCCCATCTGTCGAACCTGCTCCTTGTACCAAAACACGCTGTCCCATCTGCAGTCCAGATCTTCGACATGCATGCACGGCTACGGAAAGCGGCTCCAAGAGAGCTCCTTCTTCGAAGGTTACATGGTCGGGTAGCCTGAAAGTGCATACTTATGTACAGCCCTGTTCGCCGCGGATGCTGGGGCGTGTCAAAGGGCCCGGTTTGGCACGACTCCAGCGTGCCCTCCACCGAATGCGGCAGCGTGTGGCCGTCAACAAATGGTGGAAAACGAGCTGGGCCGAGCCAAATCCAACACCTGTGACACGCAACAGCATCTCCAGTGGACACGATTGTCTCTTCCAAAATGAAGCGGGTCATTGTTCCATAGATCATGGAACAGAGCGGATTGGTGGGGAAAAAGGGAGCCTTTCACCCTAGCTTCTACCCGTGAACCGAAAGAGGCATTTCCAGTTGTGCCCTGGCATACAAACCTTCAATATTGTGCCTTTGAATATAGGCCTTTGATAAGTTATCTATAGTTCCCTGAAAACCCAAGAACATTCAGCTATCGTACCTGCTCCTTGTATCAGAACACGTTGTTCAGCATTGAAAAGGGTTTGGAAACCAGACAAAAAAATGAGTCTCACATGTAGCAAAAATCCGCGTCATGCGTCAAGTATCGGTGTCAAGGATCCGTCAGTAGGAGGTGTGGCGAAGAACTTCGCATCAGGACATAGATTATATCTGCCTGTCTGAAATGTAACATCTTACTTGATTAAGGGGCTTCCCAGGAAGACTTCATATCAACGACGCCATCCTGAGTGAGCAACAATCGAAAGGGCTGATCTGGCTTCCATTCAAGTCACGCCCATTTACACACCCTATTGTTTGCTGGGATTATGAACTCGAAACTCGGTAGGCGTGGCTGCTAACACATTTCTATGTGGCGTAACATGGCTTGGCATATCTCGATATGATCAATCTGTATCGACAAAAGCAGCCAACTTTTTGTCCCCGCAGAGGCCAAGGTCATCCTCACGCACTCCAGCAAGTTTGTTGACTTTGGAATCCCAGACCGCACTATCTTCGAACCAAAACGCTCACCTTACAATAAAAGCAATATCGGCACGGCACACCTGGCTCTATAGCAACACGATCGCCAACCGCGAAAGCCTTTCACCTTTTTGCCAACGCCTACCACAGTGCCACTGGTCTCATGTCCAAGTATCTGAACGACCAGGTATAGATAATTAAAATCAGCGTTATTCGCCTGGAGGGGCAGGCAACTTTTTAGTTTACCTCGACGTGGGACCTATGAATCCGTATAAAGCTAATACAGAGGTACAGTACAATACGTGAGGTTGACCATACTTGTAAGTTCACAAGAGTTAACATGCCCAAGATGAGACACCCGAGAAAATCACCGAACTAACAGAATACCACCCCTTAAGGCGAACGGCACCCAGAAGTTCAAATCCCCTAACAAAAGCTCACCATCGGCTCCTTGACGACGAAATTCCCAATGGCACCATGGGTCCAGAAGTGAACATCGGAGCCACAGATACCGACTGTGTGGACTCTGATTTATAAGCATTTTAACAAAGTAATG